ATGGAATCTCTTTGAGAGCAAGGATTATTTTTCATTTCACACAGTGCCCTTGTACATAGTAGGTATTTAATAATGCTTGTTGAATTTATGGAATTGAATAGTATTACAAATGTATTCCTCCTGTAGCAAAATGCTTTGCTATTTAAATCATGTCTAATGGTAGTTTCTTCTGCAGCCTATGACAAATTGGATGTTACAAACCAAACCTTGGGCTGAAAGTGTTACCATACCTCCAAGCCTGTATTTTCACTTCAATTTATTCCTCAGCTTGCTAATCTTCATTTGTACACAGTACAAATCTTCTTAAAAGGAATCCAACACAAGAAGTTTGGGTTATTACTTCTTTCCAAATTACTGCCACTGGGTTGCAATGTTTGCAGTGATTTAAATCTTTTATATAGTTTTTATATAGTTTTCTTTGTGCATGACCACAGTCTGAATGCCACCTATTTAAATATTAAAAAGAGCCTCCAAAATATAATATAAAATTATATTTCTTTGCATTTCCATTATTCTAGCGGTGAAGTACAGTTGATAAAGTAGTAAGTTATAGAAATAGCTCAGAGATTGAATTTGAACCTAATCCATAGAAGTATCACAAGAAATGTTAGTAACAGAAAAAGGCCATCTGCTGAACAGGCCTGCTGCCTTTTATGGATTATCCCTCCTTGCAATTACTCTCTAACCTTGAATACCCTTCTCCAGAAACTGTTGAGCTCATTCTTACTTTAATCGTTTCTCTTGGAACACAGAGTTCCATTGGCATTTAGAAAATGCAAACCCATTTATAGGAACCAAATAACATAGTTTATTGAGCCATTTATCCATTTATCAATCTATCCACCTACCTATTTCAATCGCATAACATCTAGACCCTTGACACTTCTGCCAACAAATTAATATCAAGAGAAAGTCAAACAATGGAAAAGGTGAACAGGCACATCATTAAATTTTTAACAAAGTCCTCAACAATCTGAATATGTTCATTCTGAAAAACACTCTGAAAACCAAATTCCAATTTAAGTAGCTAGCTTTTTTTTTAGAAATTAAATTGCTTATTAAATATTTTGCTCTAAAGATTGATAACTCATTTATGATACTATGTTTCAAACAGTATCTTTCATATATATGTATAGAATCAGAACCACAAAGGAAGCCTTTAAGAGGCCAACTAGTGCCCTTTCTTGGCCCTTTAGATGGAACTTCATTCAATTTCCCATACCCATCTAAACAGATAGCATAGCACTCCATTTTCCTCCAAGACCTCCCAAGAATCAGAAGGCTTAACTTCACTATGTAACTTCTGTGATAAACAGAAAGTTTTGACTTATAGATGACCTAAATCCCTCATGCTGAAGTTGAAGCTCATTTGTACTTGTCTGCTACTCAGTAAAAATGGAAAATAACTTGTCAGCCAACTTCTATATTCACTTTGGGGATATTACTAGAATATTAAAAAGCAACTGACTTCAGGAGAAGTTTTCTTAGTTTCACAACTTTCAAAAGATTATTTCATGTGATATAATTAGGGTGGCTAGGTGGCAGAGTGAATAGAGCACTGGTTCAGAAGGACCTGAGTTCAAATGTGACCTCAGACACTTAGTAGCTATGTGACGCTTAGGCAAATCACTTAACCCTATTTGCCTGAGTTCTCATCTGTAAAAAGAGCTGATGGAAATGGCACACTACTCCAGTATCTTTTCCACGAAAACCCCAAATGGAGGTCATGGAGAGTCAGACATGACTGAAACAACTCAACAACAAATATAATAAATGACAATAATCATTAGCTATTTTAACAAAATATTTTATAAATAACATTTTGTGGGAATGTATGTGAGACTTAAAGTTTGTTTCAATTTTTTACCATTTTTTTCTCTGAATAACTCCAGTTTAACCTTTCCCTGGACAAATAATACTTTCCTAGCTCTTGTCTTTGTGACTCTCCTTGGAAGCCTCTCCCACTTCTCCATATTCCTTTAAGATTCGGAACCCAGGGCAGATTAAAATGAGCATATGGAGAGACACTAAATACAATCTAATCCTCTCCACATTCAACACTTGTTTATTGATCAGAAGCACACTTGCTTTGGCATTAATACCAAATTACACGATTGACTCAGTTAAGGTTGGCAGCCACATATTTCACTCAATTCACTCAAGGGCATCTTATGTGTACTAAGCCATATGTCAGAGAAGCAGACAGACTTCTTCAGTACTTAATAAATGCTTATTGATTGACTGGCATGGCCAGAATCATAAGATAGAAAGGATCTGTAGCAAGTGCTTCAGCATCTTAGTGGAGTCCTGGCAGCCTCCAATGGCTTAATGATGATGCATTCACTTCCCCTCTAAGAAGGAGCATCATGACACCTGCAACACCAACCAACATCCCCTCCAAACAGGAAACCACTCACTACAGCCTCTTACTCAGAAGAGGACACTGTGGTTTTTGTTGCTGGATGTTCTGAAGGACTGGAAACAGAAGCTTGTGTAAAGAACAGACTTCCATTCAAAGGCTTTCTTATTAAGGGGATTTTTCACTCTAAGCAAATTAATTCACTTTGATAATATAAACAGTTTGGGAGCACTCATATTTAAATTGATTTGAAATGTTAGATGTAATGGATGTCATTCACTATAGAGAAACAGTATGGCCTAGTGGCTAGAGTACTGACTTAAGGGTCAGGAAGACCTGGGTTCAAATCCTGCCTCCAAAACGTACTAGAAAGTACACTAGACCATGGACAAGGGACTTAGCCTCTCTGTACCCCAGCTTCCTCATATGTAAAATAAAGGGGTTAGGCCAGATTACCACTAACAGTGCCTTCGAGCTCTATACCTATGATCCTATGAACTTACATTATAGACACTTAATAGCTATGTGACCCCAGGCAAGTCACTTAACCTCTGTTTGCCTCAGTTTCCTCATCTGTAAAACGAGAATAATAATAACCTACCTCCCAGGTTGTTGTGAAGACAAAATGAGATAATAATTGTAAAGTGCTTAGCAAAGTGCCTGGCACATAGTAATCAGCACCACATAAATGTTAGTTGCTATTATTAATTATTAATTTAGTAATATTGGCTTATAAGTACAGTGAGGTCAGCAATCTTGCCTCATTTATTCTTTAATCTCCCATAGTACTTAGCATGGTGTCTTGCACATATATTAGATGTATAATAACTGTTAAATAAATGAATAGTCTTAAATAGACTTCCAAGAGGCTCACACTCTTTCGAATTAGTTTACATGAATTTATGAGGTTGCTAAGTAAAATAAGTAATATTTTTAAGTGAATTCTTTCATGTTATTTAGTAGGTTAGGAATGGTTTAGTGATGATATATGAACCTGCTTATCAAAAGACATTGGAAAGCACTACTAATATACAAAAATACTGAATTAATAAAAATGTTCATTCCCAAAAGATTCTTCAAGAAAAAGAGAATAATTGCTTACATTATTACCTAGCAACCATGCTTTCAAAAAATTATTAAACACTTTACAAAGTATAAAACTTCTTATTACTTTATATAACTTATAACAATTTGTTATTATGTTTTAAAGTTCAGAATCATTAAAATACTTGATTGAGTTGTTAGGACAACCAGTAATTTTCATCATTTATTATATCACAAGAAATAATATTTTGAAAATTGTGAAATGTGAAAAAGCCTTCTGACTCAAGAAAATTAATTGTTTTTCAGTATTCTAATAGTATTCAGAAACTGGATAAGATTCTTATTTTGGGGTTTGGGGAAAGAAAAAAATAATTAACTTGTTACATTTTCTCATCAATAGCAACAGGCAATAACTCTTTAAAATACTTGCGTTGAAGAACAGGACTAACCCCTCCTTTAATAAAACGATTCTATAAACTGTCCAATCACTTCAGTCTTCTCCACTAAAAACAAAGTGCAGTAATTCATGCAAAAGGTAACTGAACTGTTCAGCTGTCCAGTCTGTAACTTATCCATCACCATTATGTCCCTTCCTTTGATCATTACCATGAGACAATGGGAGAAAGGAAAGGAAAGGAAAGAGAATTAACATTGTTTGCCACTTATAAGTAGCTCACTAGTTTTGGTGGGAGAGAGCAAAAATCAGTTAAAATGAGGCTTGACTGGAAATAGTAATGTAAATGACCTGAAAGGGTTAATGCAACTTACGTTCCAAAATCCCTAGCTTACAGATATATCATAGCCCTAAAAATGTTAATTATATATGCTTTCCATTATCAGCTCAGTTATCTCTGTGCCCACACTGAGAAGGATCTAACACATACAACTGAAAACTAGAGGTAGCCATTTATAAGTCTCATTTTAGCCAAAAGTTTCAACCTCATTCTCCACCAAGCCATTAATTTACTAAAGAGTATCTTGTGGCTTGAAAAGTTAATAAATCTTTCCTAGGGTGTCCAATAATTTCTGAGAGTAGCTTATGCCCTAGGAGAAGCTGGCTCACCTCATGAAAGATAACCCCATTGTCTCCCTAAAGAGTATCATCCTCCTATATACATCAGTTAGAGCACATAAAACATATGAAAGATGCTGTTATCCACTATTTCAAAATGGAAATTCTTGTCCTAATATTGTCCATCTATGTAACGTTTTCTTCAACTTCCCTACCCTTTTATTTCCAAAGTTGGCAAATACACTTTTGAATATTATCATTTTTTTCAAGAGGGTGGGATGGGAAGGAGGGACCTGGGGAACTATTTGCTCTGCTTAGAAAAAATGAAGGCTGTTATTATTTCCTTTTAATTTTTTTAAAGTTTTTCATTAATAGTATTTTATTTTTCCCAATTACATGTAAATACAGTTGCTGTATTATATTCTAAAAAAATCTCTGCTTCCCCTCCTGCCACCCTCAAATAGGTTAACGACCTGAAGAATCAAGCAAACATGAATCAGAACACACTGCTGTTGACAGAATTTGCAAAAAGAGAATAACAAATATATTATTGACAGTTTTCAAAGTTTGATGTCATAAGCTTACCTATGCACACTAGATCCATAAAACCATACATCCCATAGCAGATTTGAAAGAGGATGTCCTTCCTTTGCCATACCGCATAGGGGCTGAAGGCTGACCACAGAAGCCAAGTCACACTTGCTATTAAGAACAGTGATCCTAGGATTACAGCAATCATCTGAACTTTCTCAACCAGTGTTATAGAAATGCTTTGCCACTAAAAGAAAAACAAAGTCATGTAAGAAAAAAATGCTGTTTATCACCAAAAAACCCCAACATTTTCAGCTCTGTATTCGTCTTGAAAGCCTGGAGTCCACTGTCAATAGATTTGGTTTCCAAATTTACTGTGCTGTTTCATCAAGATTGGAATGGAAACAAAAAAACTGATTAAGATGAATGAATTTCTTCAACTTCATTATTTTCAGTAATTTACCAGTCTGCAGGAGTTAATTTCATTATGCCCCAGATAGTAGTACTATATAGCAATAGCTCAAAAAATAGTTAGCATCTGGGAATCAAATCTATTATCTTTCACACATGTATGAAATTAACTACTATGAAGATACATGATGATTCCACTTATCTATACTTTATCTTGGTTTTCTCAAAGTGCCTGGCTACAGGACAAAATGCCCCTTTGCTGTCTATTTGAAAAAGAAAAATTAAAGGAATAAACTCCACAGGATTAGCTGTGGAACAACACTTTAGCACAGCGCTTCCCAAATGAATTTGACCACAGAATACTTTGGAGGTTGCAATAAAGACAGAATACAAAAAAACACTGGACCAGTGTCAGCAGTGAGAGTTTGGAATGGTCCTGTAACAAAGGAGTCTGGGCATATTTTGCACATGCCAAAGGAAATTAAGCTTAATTTCATTCTAGGGAAAAAAAAGTCCCAACTTTCTGATAACACATAATTTTATAATGAAGAGTTTGGGGTGGGGGGGGGTGGACATCATAAGCATTGCAATTTTCCTAGAGGATCTTATTTACATCGTAGGGACTGTTTGGAAAATGTTGTTTTTATAGAACACCAAATGACACAGATAAACTTAGAACTCTAAACAACTGTAGGCTTCTTTTGATTTTCTGCACTCCAACGTGAGCAAAGACTCTTAGTGACACAATATCTACGGAAATCAACTGGGCAAATTTTGCAAGCGTTTAAAATTTGTAAGTATTTGAATGGTCATTAAAATATTAAGACTGTATTAAAAATAGCTTTTCTTTGCCTTCCTTTTCTTTTTTTCTCCCCTTTTATTCTTTTCTTTTTCAGAGATTAGGTCTCCCTATCTTGTGCAGATTAGAAGTACAGAGTCCAATCATGGGCCCAATCCCACTGCTGCTCAGCACAGAAGCTACGGCCTGCTCCATTTCTGATTTGGGCCACTTCGTCCTTCCCTATGAAGCCTGGCGGCCCCTCTATTCATCGAGCTTCCCATACCGATGACAGACTTAGTACAGATATTTGGACAGTTTTAGTCCTACCACAACTCTGAGCCCTTGGACTCAAGTGATCTGAGTCCCAGCCTGAGAGCAGCAGGGATCACATACACGTGTGCCTCACCACACCCAGATAAAAATAGATTTTAATGAAAGAATAACGTGTATGCTCTTGGCAACACCAATTGCCAGAAATGACAACATGAATGATCAAGAATCTGTGAAGAGCATTATCCACTTCAAATTTTTAATTAGTCATGTTCTCACTTTTATCAAAGTGAGACAGAAACAAAATTGCAATTCATGTGTTGATTTGATAGTAACCAACCAAAGTCTCCAAACCCACAATCTTACAACACAGTATGTGAAGCAGTTTAAGCTGCTATATAACAAGTGCCTGTCAAGAGAATTAATAAATGTTTCAAATAAACTTTACCTTTTAAAAATTAAATCTTAAAATAATTGGTGTAAATTAGAAACATCTGAATTTCCATTAACTATGCTACTCACCTGTACCAGCCTAAGTGTTTGTTGCAGGCCTGACTTCCCTAGAATATGTTAACATCCCAAATGATTCACATACATATACATGTGCGTATCCATACATGAAAGGCACCATGACATAATGGACAAAGAGCCAGCCTTGGAGCTGTGAAGCCATGGATTCAGACTGCTTCTAGCATATATGAACAGCAACTCACTTAAATTTCAGTCTAGTTGTCCATCTGCATTGGTGGAGAAATTTTCCTAATCAAGTGTTCTCTGCACTGATGAAATCACAGGTCTAGTTAAAAAAATAGAAATTATACACAAAGGTATATGTATATAATATATACATTCACATAATGAAGAAAGAAGAGATAGGGAACAAGAAAGTAGAAACAGGGCTCCTGCCTTCAAGGAGATGTGTCTGTGTGTGTGTCTGTGTGTGTGAATTGATTTTTAAAAATCATAATGCTATTAGCACTTTGAAATATTTCATATTATAACCAACTTTATTTTACTGAGCCATTGCTTTAAAAATATTAAAATTCCATCAAGGCATAAATGTAATCATACTAATTTCTAGGTAAGCTAAATAGTAGTATTATAGTCAATTTTCAATAAGAAGTTTCACTTCTCAAGATGAAAGGTGTTAGATTTTTTGAGGCTCTGTGAGCATAATAGGTTAGAGAACTAAACTTCTTATTTTTACTTACCATTATGACTTCCTAATCCTCCTTGGCAACCTGGGAAATACTAAGAATTCTGTTTGAAATATGCCATGATCTGGAGTAAGGAATACGAACTAGAATCACCATTATTGTAATGGAAGGGCTCAATCCGATTTCTGTCACACCTCTGCAAACACACTTTCCCAAAAAAAGATAAGAATAAGGATCATTTAAAAGGCCCAATGTATGTTAATTCTTGGGTAATTAATATTTATAATTATAAGAAACTTCCTTTCATCACACTGCTTTGGAAAAAATGAATTAAATTTGGTTTTACATTCAAACGCGTTGCTCTTCTGTTTTAATAAAATTGATCAACGTACTAGAAACAAAATTGGATTCAGACTGGGAAGACTTTAGCACTTAATACTTTAGGCAAGTCACCAGATTTCTGGGCCTTTGTTTTCTCATTTATAAACTGAGAGGATTGCACTAGTTTATCTGTAAGGTTTCATGCAATTCTAAAGCGTTTGGAGTCACAAGGACAGAGTTCAAGATTTATCTCTGCACTAACTAGCCATGTAACCTGGGGCTAGTCACTAAGCATTCTAGGCCACAGTTTTGCCAACTATAAAATGAGTATAACAGAATCTAAACTCACTCTCAAGTTCACAGTAGAATATTTGGGTATCTCTTGTGATTATCAGACGAGATAACTCTTTAAAGTGTTCTATAATTCTGTAATTCACAAAGTACTATATAAAGGCCAGCTATTATTATAGCAAAGTATTAGCTTTCACTGCAGCAAGAGTTAGTTTGGGCTTTTTTAATTTTATCATGGATTTTGTTTTTAAATCTATTAAAAATAGAATGCACAAAATTCACAACTAAGTTGCTGAATTTCCTATTTTTCATGACTCTGAGCACTGATAAACATACATTCTACATGTTGTAAGACAACAGGGTGCTCAAAGCTTATCTTGAGTTTGTGACAATCTAAAGAACAAATGAAGGATAAGAAAGACCTGAGTTTGAATACTGACTAGGTCAATTACTAGTTGTGTGGCCCTGAGCAAGTCATTCAACCTCAGCTTCTTCATCTGTAAAATGGGGATTATAATAGTACCTACCTCATAGGGTTCTTGTGGGAACCAAATGAGATTACATAAAGTGATTTGCAAATCTTAAATCACTATTTAAGTGCTAGCTGTTATTATTAACATTATTATTAGTATTATTATTTTAAAGAATTGAAGCATCACCACAGCAACCATTTAAATATCTTAAGTATTGTTCCATGGATTAGACTTTAGACTTAGTCTCCTTGGACCCTGAAGAAAGAGGTTCTACAAAGCTCAGAAGTTGCAAACAGACAGATTTAGTCTTACCATAAAGGAAAGTTTCCCAATAACCAGAGCTATTCAAAAGGGAAATGGGCTTCTCTCTGAGGAGATGCAGTGGATAGAACACTGGGCTTGGAATCAGGATGACTCATCTCCATGAGTTCAAATCCACTCTCAGACACTTATTAGCTCTGTGACTCTGGGGAAAGTCACTTAACCCTGTTTGCCTCAGCTCCTCATCTGTAAAATGAGGTGGAGAAGGAAATGGCAAACCACCCCAGTATCTTTGCCAAGAAAACCCCAAATGGTATCAAAGAATCTGACACAATTGAAGAATAACAACAACTGAGGAAGTAGGGCCTTAAAGCAGGGGCTTGTTGGGGATGTCCTACACAGGATTATTTTTCAGTTTTGAATTAGGTTAAATGGCCTCTCAGACCACTTCATATCTTTTAGTGTCTGTTTCTGTGACTGCAATGTACAAATAAGATGAACCAATCTAGTAGGTTCCTAAAGATTAGCAGGAGTTCATTGAAAAGCTAGACAGAGAAGCCTTGTAACTATAGAAACATATACAAAGAAATCTGAGTACCAGCAAGGTAACTTTCTTTCATGAACACAGATATCATCTTGGTGATTTTTTTTTAACAGGTTGGCTATCCCTACACCTTCATTTACATCAAGCAAGACTTTGTACATTCTTCCCATAGGAATGATACTCATTTAAAAAGATAGGTAAATACCCCACTATTCATGTCCTCTGTAGTCATACCACTAAATATTTCAATCAACTCTCAATTATCTGCACTGATGCTTAATTAGCACAGATATAATAAAATAGCAGATAACCTTCCCAGGGTTTTCTTCTCCACCCCAGTGATTTAAGTTTCGATGTATGTCTGTAAGAATCATCTGAATTTTGAACCCAAAGCATCTACACCACCTTTCTGCACAGAATTTATAAACTGCTAAACATTATAGTGTGCTTTGACATAAAAATATATTTATATCTCTTCAGAGACATAAAAAGTGAAAGATGGAAAGGAACAATAATTTTGTAAATAATTGCCAATATTTCTTTTTTTTTCCACACTGAGATATTTACTGCTATTTTATATTCCCACAAAACCTACCCCTTTTCATCAGAAACCACTGGAACTAATGTTTCTGAGCACAGAGAGATCAACTGGGCTGCCTTTGGAGAGTGCAGTTCCTCCTTTCAAAGAGCACCACTTAGTGCAGTGCCTGGCACATAGCAAATGTTAGGTAAACATTA